TTTTTAATAAGGTTTCATTGTAGGGTCAACTGAATTGTGAGTAGTTTGGTCTGTTTTGCAAAGGTAAGACAGTATGCCGATCTTTCAGGCAGAAATGTGCATTTCAAAGGAGTATTCTGATAACAGATATTTTCCCATGATGTTCAACTTGGGGAAAAAAATGGTTTTTTTGTTTCATTAGCTCTGAATATTGCCCTAGCATCTATATGTTGTGAATAGATGTGGTTGGTATTTTGTAGGAATAGAATGAAAGCGATATTGTAATGAAGTTAACTTGGGACTGTGCGAAACTCTCCATGAAGTAAAATTCTCTCTTGATCACACTGAATTGAAAGACTTGTCAAACAACCAGTTTATCCATAGCCTGTTCATCTATAGTTTTCTTTTCAGAATAGACCCTTAAAAAGTACTATTTGCATTTGAAGTCTCTCGATTTGCATTTGGTTCTGTACATTCCCAGTGGACTAGCCTGATTTTAATTTAAATTTCTCTGTGAAAACATTTTTTCCAGAAAGGTGAGCACAAAATCATTTTAGCACAAAGCCCCGTGGCAGGGCATTTAAGGAGGGTGGGACATTTCACAGAGTGGAGCCTGGGACACCCGAAGGGAATGCCCTGTTACTGACTGAGTGGGAAATTCCAGCCAACAATGCCACATGGGAGAGAGGCAAGGCTGTCACAGCCCCTCCCAAGGGAGTGCCTCTTGTGCAGATACTTTCTTGCCTTTTCCCAAGGGAATGTGCTTTGTGTTACCCTCGGCTCTGGCCCGCTAATCACATGAACCACACTTCTCTGGTTTCAGAAGTATCAGACATACCAATTTTGCATGGTATTTTCATGCATGTTGGGGGGAAGCTGTCCTCCCCCAACACAGACCCTCAGGCAAGTCATAGAACTCCACATGGGGATAACAAGGTGCAGTTTTTGAGTTTGTCATAAGATTGGAGACGACATCAAAATGCGTAGCAGAGCACCTCGAGTATAGCTAATAACCAAGATAGCGCTCATGTCCAAACACCTGCCATGTAACCGACACCCTTGTGTGAGTTGTGCATACGCTGTCTATAGCGGCAACCTTGCAAATAAGTATTACTGTATTTCATCGAATCTAAGACCATAATAAAAAAATGTTACTTGCGTGTTAACATTTCTGACAATTCGTAGAGTTTTAAGATAAATGAATGTGATGTTACTATTCCTTTTTAAAAAATGGGAATTGAGTCTTAGGTTCCATACAGTTTGATTCAAGAAGTAGGTGAAATGTCTTAACCCCAACCTAGGTTTCTTGAATTCAAAAGCCATGCTCTTAACTACTACAGGCTCATGCCCCTTGATTAGACTAGAGTGTCCTGAAATCCACAGACACCAAATGATCCATGGTGGACGTAAGGGCATCTGTCGACCTTCTAAAATCATTCATAATACTATTTTGTAAGTGGCTTTTTTTCTGGAAAGGTCAGTAGGTTTTATCATATTCTCAAGAGGGTTCATGACCCCCCAAAAGCTTAAGAAAGAACATCTGGGGGTAATCAGCCACATGCAATAAGCAGGATCTGGCCTTATACAGTACAACATGTTTTAATTTTTTTTTAACACACTACATCTGTGGATTATTTTTGGAGGCCCAAGTTTCACCTAATCCATATTCTTGCCAGATTCACAAAGAGCTGAGGGCCCCTGGGCTGGAACTGCTGAGCTTTTGCTCCTGAACTGCCCCCGTCTCTCATAATTTACTACACAGCATTCAGGATTTCATGCCCCATGGTCCCCCCCTCCCCCCCTTCTAGCCACTCCCTCTCCCAGAGACACCGCCAGACACAGGGAAGACAGCTCTCCAGACCGCCTTGTCAAAAGAGGCTTCCCTTGCCCTGCATCCCACCCCTGGGGGTCAGAGGGACATCCTGGCCACTTCCAAACCCTCTTCCTTTACTTTGGTTACTCCTCTGATAGGGCATGCCCTCATGCTAAACTGCCTTCTTCTTCTCTACACACTTGGGTACCAGCTTCCCAGCAACATGCAGGATACCACCTCACAGTTTTCTCTCCAGCCCTAACCCTGCCTTCTTGGTGGCTGTCCCATCTGTGGCCTCCTAGATCCTTGACCTTCTTACGTTCCCTGACCTTCTCCTCCCTCTGCTTCGTCAACTCACCCCCTTGTCCACACCTGGGACTGTGTCATCCCTCAGAGTTAATCGCTCTCTAAACATCTCGAGGGCTCTCTCTCACCATCAAAAAACCATTCCTCTCTCATTTCCCTCCAGAGCCACTTTCTCAACCATTGCCATGTGGCTGCCTCACAAAGTCATGTCACACTCCACCTTTTTGTTTTGAATCCTGACCCCAAATAAATGATGACTCATGAACTTCCAGTTTTTGAACCTCCAAATAAACTGATTTTTAGCTCTTCATGTATCCTAGTTAAAACTAAAGAATCGTACGTTGGCATTCACCCTGATGACCCCACAGCACTGTCCTTTTCTCAAGCATCAGCGATTTGTACTGAGTTTAGTAAACTTAGCAAGATGAGGAGCATAACACATTTTGGGGAGATTCTAGCACATGAGGGCTGAAATGAAGCACTGTGAAGCCATGAACAAACCAGAGCACGGGATTCCCACCTTGTCCCAGGCCGTGGGCTCCAGAACTGTCATTGGAGAACCACTGCCTGGCTTCCAGTGAGAATAAAGGACAGGTCAGCGCTTTGCCAGCCTGAAGTCTTACTCTCATCTTCATGCAGCTGGAGCTCTCTTCTCATGTTTCTGCTGCTGATTTTATTGGTGTCCTTTTCCAAAGCACCAACCTCTTCAGTTCCTATCCAGGGAAGGAAGCCTGACCCACAGACCACCAGCCAGTCACTCCATGCTTCGTTCCTGCTAGAGCATCGGGGGCCGCAGCAAACACCCATGACGTGTGGGTTCCGGTGGACTGTGTTAATATTAACCGTGGTAGCACCATCAGTTGTTTTTGTCAATGTCGTGTAACTACTGATGGAAGCGAATGGTATAGTAATTAAGCAGGTTTGGGAATCAGGCCCCCATTGGAATTCCCACTTTGTGACTTCATTTGCCGTGTGATCAGAAGCGACACAGTCTCCCGGCGTCTCGGCGCTCTGAGACAGGGCATGTAAAGCTCTCAGTGTGGTGTCTGTCTGGCACTGGGTGGACACTTAATAAATGTTCCAGAGCTTTTCTTTGTGCTGCTGCTCTCCTGATGCTTTCTTCTGCTTTTTCCCTTTAAGTTTGGGACCCGCCTCATCATAGAGGCCCTGGAGGCGGCAGGGCACTCTCTCAGCACTCTTTTCCTGTGTGGAGGCCTGAGCAAGAATCCCCTTTTTGTGCAGATGCATGCAGACATTACAGGTAAGTCTGAGGAGGAACAGAGGAGGTCACTTTGGGCTTGGCAGCAAATATGCCCGGCTAAGAACCGGACAGGGTTGGAGATAGCAGGGTACAAGTGATGTGCCAAATTATTTTGCGTAGTTAGGTTAAAATGTATTCTTGTTTCTTAAGATCACTGTGAAGTGTCTGTAGCCATGATGGAGAAAGTGACTTCTCTGTGAAGGCATCTTTTGAATGATCCTGAGAAATGACAGGGGTCGGCAAGGGCTAGGACATAATTTAAGCCTTTACGGAACAGTATGAGCACCTCTTCTGATGCACACTTGTGGGGAATATTGAAGATGCAGAGATGGGTAAGACAGGATTCCTGCCCCCAGAGAACTCAGAGTCTATTGAAAAGGACAAACCACTGTGCAAATATTGTGTGGCAAGAGCTGAGAGTGAGAAAAGCACCGAGTGTTACGGAAACATAGTAGGACACCTCACCCTGGTTTGGACCTGGGACCGGGCAGGGCAAGCGCTCTGGAGGAAGTGATGGGGAAGCTGTCTTGAAGAAAGAATTCTGAGCCCAGCTGCTCTGTGGGAACTGGGGTCTGGCCGCAGATGGGAATTTGAGCCCTGAGACCCCAAGATCCTGTGATTCTTTCATAGCTTATGACACATATCAGGAAAATCCAGAAGCATGGGCTGGTCCCTTTGTGATACAAACACAGCAGAGCAGGATCCCCGCTGCTGATCCCTCAGCCTTCAAGAAAGGGACCCCGTTGGCAGGAGGCTTGCTTGTATCACAGAGCCTTCCCTGGGCTGCTGTCCCTCTGGAACTAGTGCTCTCATGCCTCTTTTCCCTTCTCCCCTGGTGTCTCCTGGAGATGGGCATCCCCCCCACCCCAGGATGGCCAGGCACCAGAGCAGGGCAAGGGAAAAGAAATAGAGGGGATTGGACCCCGCCTACAGCTCCAGCTCCAGCGTGATAGGAGTCCATCCTTCAGTAGCCTCCCTTCATCATGATCTCTTGCGGTCCCTCCCCCATCACCTGGATTCCTTACCTCTGACACCTGGGTGAATCAAAGTCCCTGCCCTTGACACTGCTTCACATCACTCTTGCCCCCTCCAGAAGATACAGATTTCTGCGGATGAGAGCTTTACCAAATGTCAGGGGCGTAGTCAACCCCTGCACTTCGGGAGATCAAACTAAATAAATTCTTCATCCCCATCTTAGAGATAAATAGACTGAGGCATAAGCCAGGGCACAGTATAAAAAAGCACATAGTCTAAGGGTAAATGTATCAGGATGTTAAGTAGAGAAATTACTACCATTAACCAAGCTCCCACTGTGTGTTGCTAGAATCACTCTGTATATGTTTAACTTCATAAACTGCCAAAAGGTAGCAATCGGTGCCCCATCTTACAGACAAAGAAACTGAGGCTAGGAGGGTCAATTAAATTGACTGTCCAAAGTCAAACATTAGTAAGAGGGGAGGGACAGAACTAGGACTGTGACCTGGGTGTGCCCAGGCTAAGCGTCCCCTACGCTGTGCTGCTCACCCAGGTTTCTTGGCTCTCCTGAGTAGTTTGTACCAATGTGTTAATTACTCTTCCTTGAAAGTGTCCATAACCTAGGGACGTGGGCCATGCTGAGGCTGAAAGAGGAAAGACCTAAAAAAGGAGCCCAAATTACCTTGTAGTTTTCCCTAGGAGAAAACCGATAACCACATTTTATCTAAAAGTCAGCTAGCTAGTCAGATAAGATTCAGACTTAAAATGTGATCTGTGAGTGACTTTCCAATTTCCAGCCTTCCAATTGCCATGAAGCCTTCCTACCTCTGTGCAGGAGGGGAGATAAGATCTGCCCTGGCTAACGTGTCACCTGTGAGAATGCCCCGAGAGCAGGGCAGTTTGAGTGACCCAGGTCCTGACCAGGCACTGCGGCTCCAGCCTTAATGAGAGTGGGTCCTCTTCCAGGCCTTATGTCTCTGAGCTGACTCAGAAGCAGGGGCGGGTAGCAGCTTCACAGAAAGTTCTGCTTTGGAAACAGTTCTTCAGGCTGTTGAATGAAAAGGCTGTTAATCGTTATTTGGATTCCGATTGAAACTGGACCCTTTGTCTCTGGCCGTGGACCAGTTACACTTCCAGACAAAGGGACCTTTTCTTTGGCTGGAATTCCTCTGCGTCGGGAAGCTGTGACTGACGAGTGATGGCAAAGTGCATCTGCCTTTAAATGCTTTGGGTTCTGCTCAACTCATTAATGCATCGGATAAAATAGTTCCCATTCCAGGCAGAGTTTCCTTCTCCCCTCCTTCACCCAGCACTCACAGAAAAGAACACATTCGCATTGGATCCTGTAAAAGGCAGGTGCACACCAGTGGGTATAGAGGTAGAGTCTTGGATGCCTCGAAACATTGTAGTTCCGATTTTCCTGCAAACAGAGGCTTCGGGAGGACCATCGACCTGGTGCATGAGTCTCAGGACTGCCTGTCAAAAACCCAGCGGGATTAGAAGATTCTTTGGAGATAGTGTGGAGTCATGGAAAGAGCAGGGGGTCACCTCTGTGACTTTGGGCAAGCTGCCTTACCTCTCTGAGCCTCGTTTTCCTCTTCCGAAAGAGATAACACTATTTCCTCCTGATAGATTGTGCTGAAGGGGTACATGCTCGTGAGTTCATGAGCACCAAGGTCCATGCCTGGAAGTCAGTGTTCCATAAATGTTAACTCACTTCTTCCCTTAAAGCAGCCCCTCGCCAAAAAGGAGGAGGTGTGTTAGAAAAAAATTTTAAAAGCGCAGTTTAATAATTTGTAAGCAAATCTTTGGCATGTGACGAGCAGGCTTCTCCGTGCACGCAGAGAGAATGGGGCTTTGCCAACTTGGGAGAATGTCCTCTACGTGAGGAGGAAGAATCTCCCTGTACGTCTGGCAGTTAGTTTAACTGTGGTTTCAAGAAATACTTGGTGTGTCCTAAGTAATTGTAGGTTTCCTCCATTGACTTGGGACTGAATGTTCCTTCTCTGAATTTTGTTTTTTGGTTTTTTTTTTTTTTTTTTTAAGTCCCTGGCCGTTTCAGCAGGGATTTCCCTCTTTCTTACTCATTATTTTAATAATTTGTCCTTCCATTTAATTCACTCTGAAGCCTTCTCTGAGCACACAAGCGTACCAAGCACTGAGCTTGGCAGGGGGATGCAAAGAAAAACGATAAGCTCCTGCCAGAAGGGTCATTGCAAACCAAAAAAAGTGCTCTTGGTGCTCTGAGCAGTGTCCAGAGAGGACAGCAAGGACCCAGAGGATGCTTGTGTCGGTATGAGTCAGGTCCAGGCAGGGAACAGATGACGCACAAAGTTTGGAGTAAAATCAAACAAAGGGTCTGTTACAGAGGTGTGGGCAGGGTGTAGGGAAACCCCGATGACCAGGCGGTCCCCTGGGGCTGCCCACAGTCTTACCACCCCGAATTTTGCAAGGGGCAGGCAGGGGCATAGCCATCCTGAGTCTGAGGGGCTCTGAAGAGGCTGCCTGACTAGAGCTTAGTCAAGGTTTCAGCCATGAGGACAAGGGAGCCATGGATGTGGTCTGCACAGGCCGGTGTCCCAGGACCCACAGCAGGTGGGAGGTGGAAAGGGACGAGGTGGGATTGACCTGAAGGGAAGTGGAAGCAGTGAATTGGTATCATCCAGGTGACAGGGATGAGGAGGAAGTCTTTAGAGATAAGGGTAAATATTAAGAATCCTAACAGCTAATGCTAATGTAGTGTTTTCTCTGAGCCAAGCACTGTTTTAAGTGCCTCATTCACAACAGTACTTTCAATCCTCGCAGCAGCCCTAGAGGGAGGTAGAATTTTATCCCCATTTTGCAGATGGGGTAACCGGGACACAAAGAGGTCCAGGAACTTGCCCAGGATCACACAGGTAAATCAGCGAGCAAGCCAGATTTCAAACGCTCGTGGTCTGGCTCCAGAGTCCTTAGGGTACAACCGGAGAGCTAGTGGGGGATCCACCAGATTCGCTCTGGTGTCCGGTTCCCCAGGGGAAGGGACTGCAGGTGCCTACTCCCTGCTCAGAACTAGTGAGGCTTTTGACAGGGTAAGGAGGGGCTGGAAGGTCAGTGGCATTTACAGGTGCTTGCTATCTTCTACGAAGGGCCATGTCTATGAGGGTGGTCCCAGCTGCTACAAAGGCATGCGGCGCTCTCCTGACTGGGCCCACACAGCCCTTCCGTGTGGCCCAGTGTCTGTCCTTCCCCTGTAGTTGGCTGATGGGCACCTGTCTGTCTCTTCCCCGCTGTGCAAGTGAGTGCGTGTAGAGGGCCTTGGCTCACCTTCCCGCTTCATTCTAACAGCAGCAGCCACCGTTCTCAGTGTCTCTTAAGACACTAGACATGTGCTGAGCCCCACGTGTGCCTTCTCTCATCAAGCCTCACTGCAAACCTGCACAGCACATCTTACTATTGTCCCCCTTTCACACACCGGGAAACCGAGGCTACATATTTATGTCACTTGGGGAAGGACCCAGGGCTAGTGGAATGGACTCTGAGCTTTTCCAAGGGAAAAGCTTTTCCCGATGCCTGTCAGCGGAGCCTCAGGTGCTGGCCCTACAGTCTTGGGGCTGGCATTCCTGAGCCCCTAGCTGTGTGAGGGCATTCTCTTCCCTGACCCTCTGTGCCAGGTGGCCGGGCAGCTGACTGAGCCTGGGAGTAGGAAGAAGAGTTAGGAGGCAGTGGGAGCCTCGGGGTGACTGTGTCAAGGAGATCTTCCCAGAAAGAATAGGAAGACACATGCAGTCTTTGAAAAAGTCAGTCTGGTGTCTTGAGTAGAGGAAGGTGTTCAGGTCTGGCTACCGAGCTTACCTTTGTGGAGGCTGCTGCCATCTCCTGATTAGCCAATGCATTTATACTTGTGTTTTACGTATATCTTGTTTATAGCGTACACATATACACATATAAACTCCTCAGAATTCTAAATTATTTCTATTAATCTTAAACCCACTATGAGCCCTCAGGCTCCAGCAGCTGGCCTGTGGAGTGCTTTCTTGCTGCCTGGTGGACCTCTACTTCTCCCTCAAGTGCCTCCGTGAGGCTCGTCTCCACTCTGACCAACACCCCAGCCCGTTCCCTATCCGGGAAATTTGCTCTTTCGTCATTGAAGCCTTTGCCGTGTGCTGGATAGTAGTTAGGCAGTCTCAAATCCAGGAATTCAGCAGTGGATGAGACCATGTGCCTGCCCTCATGGAGCTTAGGCTCGAGCAGGGGAGACAGAGGGCAATCGTGCAGGGGTGAACGATGCTGAGGAAATAGGGGAATGAGTAATGTCGTGGGTCAGTTGTCACTTTGAACGGTCAGGAAAGGCACAGTGGGATGGGGATGTTTGCGCAAATGCGCAAAGGACACAGAGGGAGTTGCTGTGTGGGCCTCTGGGAGGAAGTGACCTAGACAGAAGGAACAGCATGGGTGAGGGCCCTGCAACTGATTCAAGAAAACAAGGAGGCCAGCCGGGGCAGGGTGGCCAGGAGGGGAGGAGACCGTCGGGGTGGGTGCCAGCTCTGGAGGGCCTCACCAGCCATTGGAAGGGCTTTGGCTTGTCTGCAGAGAAATAGGAAGCCACCAGAGGGATTAATCACACCCTCTTACTACTTCCCTTTTCTTAGCGCATCTCAGTTAAGAGAACCACCCCCCTGTGCGGCCTTAATCTCTTTCTCATCCACCTCCCCTTGGAGACCTGAATAGCAGGATGGAGGTTCATCTCCATATTTGCTGGGCCCAGCAAAGCAGTCAACAAATGTTTGTTGAAGGGAGCTTGAACCAATGGCAGGTAGTAGCTAGCAGAAGCCTGGGAAATCGGGGCAAAAAGGTCTCATGAGTGCTGGGTCCCTTGGGGCTCCTGGCTGCTGCAGCAGTAGGCACGGGCTGTAAACTGCTTTAGAATCAGGAGCAGAGAACTGTGGGGGATGGGGAGAGGGTGCCCGCTGCTGCCTTCACGTCACATCACGTCAGGTGTTTCTGTTGCTGGGGCTGCTTGCCGGCTCCCCTCACCGTCCCCGGCCCTGCTCCCTAACCAAGGTGTGGCCTTGTCCTGTGCAGGCATGCCTGTGGTCCTGTCGCAAGAGGTGGAGTCCGTTCTTGTGGGCGCTGCTATTCTGGGTGCCTGTGCCTCGGGGGACTTCGCTTCTGTACAGGTATGTGAGGGCCGAGGGGTGGGCCGTGGCTCCTCCCCTGTCTGAGGCTGTTCTTCCTCTTGACAGCAGCTCACATCTTGCAAAACACACGGAGGATATAATTAAGAAATGATAGGTTCCAGCCAGGGAAAGCACAAACACTTCTAGCCTCAGACATATTTATTGCAGTTTTCATTTGACTTGGCCTCCGTTAGTGTTGGTCATTCTGTTTTCCTGTTAGGTTTTTTTTTTTTTTTCCTCTCCTTTAAAATAGCTCTTAAATGATTTCTTTTAATTTCCCCTCGACTTTTTTTTTTTTTGGTAGCAAATGAAACAGATAAGTTTTAAAACTTAAGTGTTCCGTGTACATTTCAGATTTATATTTGTTTATTTCATCTTCATGTACCACTTTCCAAATAATTTTGAGGATTCTGACAATAAGAGGCACAAATGAAAACGTTAGCTTAAAAAAAAAAGAATTAAAAGGGAAAATAAGGAACAAAGATATAGGAAAAAGGAAATAACTTGGGCTCCGTGACGGAGCACACAACTGCACTCTGAGCTTCCTGGCAGCCAAGACAAAAATGAACACATGATAAGTTGCATAATTCTTATTTTCAAAAAGAGGAAACATTAGTTTCTTGTGGGAGACAAGGCTTTTCCTGCCACCAAATTGCAAAAGACATTTCACACATAGGTTCTATGGAGAGATTTTGAGTGGTTAAATATCCAGTCCTGCCTTATCTACCTCCTAGCTCTGTGCCCTGACCACTCTGCTTTTTCCTCCATTTCTTTCTCTGCAATAATCATCAGGAGCACATTATGAGTTCTTTCTCTGTGTCGGGAATGCACGCTTAATCCCATTATTCCCAGTGTATAGTCGAAGAAGCTGAGGCATGAAGAAGTGAAGTGACTTGGCCTCAGTTGAAACAGCTAGTGAACGTCAGAACCAAGAAGTCTGGCTCCCCAGCCTCCCCTGAGAGTTCAAGAAATGTTTGTTCGGAGAGCTTAAATGACTTGTCCAAGGTCTCCAGGTCAGGATGAGAAGCCGGGTTTCACACCAGTGACCCAGTAACAAGAGCACTATTTATCGCGACCCTTTTATGTTCGAAGAGCTGTGCTAGGGGCTCTTCCTGTGATCTTCCAGACACCTGTTACCTACACGGGCAGCAGAGGTTAAGCAACAGAGATCCAAAAAGGTGACAGAACTGAAGGGTACACTGTTAGAAACACAGACACAAAAGTCTGATTCCACCATCCGTACCGCATTTTGAGAAGCGTGGTTCACTGCACACTGGCCAAGCCTTTGGAACTGATGTCTGAAATATCGCTCCTAAGGAATTGAATCCACTTGTGAATGCTAAGTACGCTTTAGCTGAAGTTTTTTATCGAAGACAGTGCAACTGAATTCTCAAGGATTTCTGGATTTTCTGGTACTCTCTCCAAAACATTTGCATGGGGTCTCTTTCTTTCTTTCTTTCTTTCTTTCTTTCTTTCTTTCTTTCTTTCTTGTTGAAATCTCAATTATCATTTTAATGCATCTGTTTATGGAGGTGTTCTCACAACTAGATGCCATTCTTGGGACAAACGGTAGCGAAAGCAAAGCAGTAGAGATGCTCCCTGAGGCCCTGCGTTGGTTTACATCGTATTAGAAACTGAACGTGTCCCCTCCTGTGTTATATGTTGAGGCCCCAACTCCCCCATATGTTGGTATTTGGAAATTGGGCCTTTGGGGAGGTAGTTGGGATTAGATGAAACCATGAGGGTGGGATCCCCATGATGGGATTAGTGCCCTTATAAGGAGAGACACCAGAGAGCTTGTGTTTTCTCTCTCTGCCCTGGGAGGACACAACAGAAAGGTGGCTGTCTGCAAATCAGGAAGAAGGCCCTCAGCAGAATCTGACCAGGTTAGCACCTTCATCTTAGACTTCCAGCTTCCTGAACTGTTAGAAAATAAATGTCTCTTGTCTGAATACCCAATCTATGGTATTTTGTATGGCAGGAGGAGCGGACAAAAAAACGTCCTTTAATTTTGACAGTGTCCCTGTTTCCATCCTTGTGTTGTTTATGAGGAAGCCAAAGCCTAGAGAGGTTTCCATTTGCTCAAGGCCACAGTTAATAAAGGGCAGAAGAGGAATTGAAACTAAGGCACTCTGGATCTCTGTCCCATCCTGATTATCATTCTTTTTCTACTTCTTTCGACTTTTTTTTTTCTTTTTTGTGTTCAGAATAGTTTGTGGCTTCATGAGTGTTTAGTAGTGTATCTTCTGAAAAGAAATGCCCCATTGGTCGCAACTCAGGAGATAGTCTACAGCTCAAACGAAGAGTAGTGTGGGATAGATAGGCCTGCTTCATCAGATACTCCATACCGTGACTTCGGGTGCCTCAGTGATATCTTGGTCAAACCTGGAGTTTCTAGCTCCAAGACGATTCCACTCACATCTTTCCCTAAGTGGAAAGTCTTAACCTTCATGCCACACTGACACATCATCACTGCATGAGACTTTCCGTTCATCTTCTGGAACAGAATCTCAGGTAGAGTGCATCGAGTATTGGAATTGGTGATTCGAGTGTAGCTGCAAGTCTCACAGCATTTTAAAGACAAGCTCATCTCTTCTATTAAGCCCGAGGAAATATGTGCCCCTCCTGACAGTAATTTCTAGAAGACGCTGAGAGCCCCCAGTTGAGGGAGCCCTGGAAGCTCACCTGTCATTCCGTTGCCCAAGAGAATCCTGTGGTCTTGACCTCTGTGCTTGCTTGTTGTATATCTTCAGTCAGTGGCACCTGGCCTCTCCAGGTACTTGCTGTATTTGTGTATTTCCTTTTTACAAAATATTTAGAGAATTGCCACTCATGTGGGGCTGTTGAGATAAAGAGCCTTTGGAACCTCTAAGGACCTGCATGAGCCCCAAGTGTAATTATCAACGTTGCTATAATGATGATCAAACTGCTTTGGAAATGTAAACACATGTGGATGTGGCCTCATTCACCCCTCTCCAAAGAAGAGACAGCCACTTCTGTGCCCCAGGCCTGGGGATGAGCTCAGGATTCTGGCAAGTTGATGTGAAACAGAATTGCTTTCTCCCTCTGATTCGTATTATTCAACCTGCACTTCAATATACTTTTTTCTTTGAACTTCAGAGATCCTACTTGGTCTTCAAGGTGCCTGCTACTCCTTCCTTTAAGAAAGCTGAGCGATTCCCGACAGCAGCTTTCTCTTTCCATAGACCACACATTCGGTGGTCGGAGGAAGGATTTCACTTGACTCTACCACAGGATGCAGACTTTGGTAGACTCAGCCAGAGTCCTCTCTTCCAGACGAATGAAAGACTAGGAAGAGTCCAGAGGACCTGGACTACACCTAGGAAAGAGGCCTACATGCCTGAAGAGATGGGGTTTCCTGATTTCCTGGGCCCGTGAGTGGGTGTCTTCAGCCAGGGGTAGAGCCCTGTGCTTCCCTGTGGTGATCCGAACATGTTCGAAGGATTTAGAGTCGCAAGCTTTCCTTACAAACACTGCAAACCTCTCTCTATATTTCAGTTCTGGGGGAAGTTTTGTCAGATGGAGAGGGCTAGGGGATAGAACGGTCTGGTGGGATGTTAGGGGAGAAATTAGTCAAGTATGAGGTCCACTGCTATTTCAAATTTTGGACCCACCAACAATGCCTAGCCTCCACTTCTTGTTCTTTTATTGGTTTCTGTTACCATCAGAGTCTCTCTCTCTCTCTCCCTCTCTTCACTGCTTCTTGCCTGCCCTCCTCTCCCTTTGACATCGAAAGCTTCCTGCTGTTCCCCTTTCAAATGAGGATCTCACAGAGGGTACTGATCTAGCCATCCATCTGCATTAGAGAATAGAACAACTACTAATATCTTAAAGGGTTGCGTCTCTCCAGAAATGGTGTTCTCCATGTAAGTAGTGTTCCAGACTCTGTCTCCAATAGAAAGTATTGACAAGCGTCGTGGTACAGTCATCTTCGTATCTGCAGCTCAATCAGGAAGAGGGACTCAAGCCACAGAGATGCTGCGTTCATGGTAGAAGTTATACTGTTGGGTAAGTGGGAGGGATCGCAAGAGGAAGTCTTCCTTCCTCCTTTTATTCACTGCAGTATGGAATCCACACAGCCTTGACCTCTGTGACCTTCCCATCTGACCACTCCTGATCCCCCAAAAGTTACCTCACTCCCTTGGCTGTCCATGCACTCCAAAGAGATTTTCTAATTCTGAGTGTCCTAGAAAGCACATAATTATGATTAGAAAGTTGGGATCATCCCAGCACCCTTCTGTAGCCTCCCAGGCCCTGGAAAAATAACAAACTGGAAAAAATACGTTCCTGAACTAACAACGTACTTACATTATCCAAGCACAGATGGTAGAGAGGTTCTAAGACATGCAAAGGATACATAAAACAAGAAACCAGTTTCAAGATGCCTTGAAAGACAACTCAGGCAAAATGGCGAAGAGGCAGAGATACAAGATCCCTTTCCACTTTCCGCATCCTTTAGGCCCCTGCAGATGTCATTCGCTTTCTGTAATTTCTTATCTTAAAAGACAGGGTCTGTTTGTTTTTTGGTTCCCGGATCTCTTTCTGTGACACCAGCTTTAATTCCAGGAGTGACACCTTCCCCTCTGCCCCTCTGCCCCCCTGCCCCGAAGTAGAGGAAGCAAAAGGCAGCAGAAGGAGGCTGTGACAAGACATGAAAATGAATTCCCCAATCAATGTAAGGCACGTACCGGTATAAAGAAAATAAGCCCCTGGAATCCACCAATTAATCAAAACCTTTCTTCCTCCCACCGTGCGAGGGCTGCCGCCTCTGTAAACCATGGACTCCGTGTGTTCCCACCATTAGCTTTCCTTGTCACGTTCCAGACAGACTCCCGTGTCTTGCAGACCACTACGTGTAAGTGGCCTGTTGAGACGCGTGACTACTCACCCTTTCTGTAATGTGTGCCCACAAGAGAAGCTATCCACACTGACCGCAGTGGCACGCCCTCGAGGTCAGTCCTTGCAAACAGGCTCACCAC